CCCCCAGGAATCACTCCCCCAGGGATCAATCACCCCAGGGATCACTCACCCCCGGTGATCACTCACTCACGGTGATCACTCACCCACAGTGATCACTCACCCCAAGGATCACTCACCCCAGGGAACACTCACTCCCAGGGAACACTCACCCCAGGGATCACTCACCCCAGGAATCACTCACCCCAGGAATCACTCACTCCCAGGGAACACTCACCCCCAGGGATCACTCACCCAGAGATCACTCACCCCAGGGAACACTCATCCTCAGGGATCCCTCATCTCCAGGGATTCCTCACCCCCAGGGATCACTCACCCCAGGGATCACTCACCCCCAGGGATCACTCACTGCAGGGATCACTCACCCCCAGGGATCACTCACCACGCCAGCAATCAGCTGCTGGAAGAAGCGCTGTGCCTCGGGCTCTGGCATCCCAACATCTGGCTCTGCCAGGGATGAGAAGGGCAGACAGAGCATTGCTCAGCCATCCCGAGGGGTAAGAGGGGCAGAGCACTCTCAGCCATCCCGAGGGATAAGAGCAGAGCACTCTCAGCCATCCCCAGGGATAAGAGCAGAGCACTGCTCAGCCATCCCGAGGGACAGGGGCAGAGCACTCTCAGCCATCCCAAGGGATGAGAGGGGCAGAGCACTCTCAGCCATCCCGAGGGATAGAGGCAGAGCACTCTCAGCCATCCTGAGGGATAAGAGGGGCAGAGCACTGCTCAGCCATCCCATGGGATATGAGGGGCAGAGCACTGCTCAGCCATCCCATGGGATATGAGGGGCAGAGCACTGCTCAGCCATCCCATGGGATATGAGGGGCAGAGCACTGCTCAGCCATCCCATGGGATATGAGGGGCAGAGCACTGCTCAGCCATCCCATGGGATATGAGGGGCAGAGCACTGCTCAGCCATCCCATGGGATAAGAAGGGCAGAGCACTCTCAGCCATCCCGAGGGATAGGGGCAGAGCACTGCTCAGCGTTCCGGGCTGGCCCATTCCCGCCTGAGGCCGCACCGATGCGGTCGAAGAGCTCTCCGCCGCGGCAATACTCCAGGAACAGGTACTGGGTGGGCCCTTCCCGCCGGTGGCCGTAGAACCGCACGATGTTCTCATGGCTGAGCATCTTGTTGATGCAGATTTCCTTCTTGATGTTCTCGGGACACTCTGCCGCGCGCTTCATGTCCACGATCTTCACAGCCACGGCCTCCTCCGTGCGGCGGTTCACAGCCAGCTGCACCCTGGGGACAGCAGGCAGGGAATGGGCAGGGAATGCTGCCCCCAGAGACAGGCAGTGGGCAGGGAATGGGCAGGGAATGCTGCCCCCAGAGACAGGCAATGGGCAGGGAATGGACAGGGAATGTTGCTGCTGGGGACAGGCAGTGGGCAGGGAATGCTGTTCCCATAGACAGGGAATGGGCAGGGAATGGGCAGGGAATACTGCCGCAGTGGGCAGGGAATGGTCAGGGAATGCTGTTCCCATAGACAGGTAATGGGCAGGGAATGGACACGGAATGGTCAGGGAATGTTGTTCCCATGGACAGGTAACAGGCAGGGAATGGACAAGGAATGCAGGCACAGGCAGGTGGAGTGGGCAGGGAATGAGCATGTGGTGGGTTCACACTGGGTGTGCAGTGGGATGGAATGGGCAGACAGACAGCACACACAGGGCACGCAGCAGGCAAGAAATGGTGATGGGCAAGCGGTGGGCACACTTGGGGCACGTGATGGCCAGACACCGAGCAAGCAGCAGGCAAGCAGTGGGCACGTAAGGAGCACACGGTGGGCAAGCAGTGGCCATACATGGAATATGCAACAAGCATAGTGCCCACGCGGTGGGCAAGCGGTGGGCACGCACGGGGCACGTTAGGGCCAGCAGTGGGCACAAGCAGGGCCCGCAGTGGCCAAGCAGTGACCGCACGGGCACGCAGCGGGGCGG